CTGGGATAAATATAGAATACAATTGTTCTGATTGGATGTGACTAAGTCCACTAATAATGGTGAGAAAAGGTGATTTTGTTACGGTGTGTTTTATGTAACATTTTTGTGATGGTTTGTTTGTCACCTAAAGAGTCCCCATTAAGTCAATGATGTATGACTTTCTCCTGTTGAGCAGCTTCAGGCTGAACAAATACCTTTTCAGTTTAGCCACCGGACCTCCTGCATTGGCCACCGGCAGCAGCTTGTATCCAGCTCTCCAGGGCTCTTTTCAGCAGTGATGTTCCTTCCTCTGGTGCTCCAAGGCTCCATCTTCACCTCTCCTGCATGTACCCTCTAGTGCAGTCCTTCTCAACCAGGGTTCCTCCAGAGGTTGCTAGGGGTTCCTTGAGCTGTGGTTGGCTGACCTCCCATTGGATGGTGTCTGTTGAGTTCCAGGACCAATGCCACTTGGCAAAGCCACTAGCATGACTCCAATGATCTTTTAACTGTCTGTAAGGGTGGCGCTCTGACCATTGCAAGGATCGCACTCTTTCCATTGACCACCAATGCAAGGGACATTTTTGTAATTGACCCATAATGAATTGGTTTGATTAAGGGTTCCCTGAGACCACAACATTTTTGTAGGAGGTCCTCTGGGGTAAACAGGTTGATCTAGTAAGGCAGTGCAAACCCTTCAGGCCCCAGACTCAGACCCGCTCGGCTTTACCATGGCTTGACCACCAGGCAGAGGTCTCCAGCACAGCCCTTCCTGGCAACAGCCCAATAGGCTCCAGCATGTTCCGCTGGCAATAAATCTCCTAATGGATGGCCAAGGAGACATAAATATTCACAGCTCGGAATTATTGTATCTTCTTGCTCTATTGCCAGGCTACCCACCTACCTCCCAATGGCAGGCAGAAGCAAACAATAATCCAGGGAAAACCCAACGATTCAGAGCTCAGGCTGACTACAGACTAGCTATACCATTCAACTTAGATGATGGACAGCCCTGCCTATGGTGCCGACACATCTCTGTTTATAAACCAACATGTGTTGCAGAACTTTATAGTTCATATTAAACTGTTCATGTTAGTCCTTGACCCAAAGAAGCTTTCTTCTGCCTCACTTTCGTTAGTTTTTTTTGTTTTTCTGTATTGTATGTAACTGATTTAGGTTGCAATATGTTTGTAGTATGCTCCCATGTAGTGGCGGCTTGGGGCCACTACAACTTGTTTACTAATGGAATTTTGATATCTTTCCCTGTCCTCCTCACCTGTTTAGTGCTAGTTGGTTTAGTCCTAGCTAGACTCTCCCCATTTCTTCCATGTTCCCTCCATCAGTGTTAGATATTCACAGAGACAGGGTTCAGGAAAACCATTATACTTTAAAAGCCTGGAAAAGCATCACCTGTACTGCAACTATCTGCATTGGATTCAACTTCTGAAGAGTTAAACTGCCTGTGGATGGTGCCAAGTCAGCAGGCGACTACACCACGCAGACGGACTGGGCCTAAAGAGGCATGTGAATGCATAAAGTGGCATTTGAAACAGAACTAGGTCAGGCATACACCATACTTTATGTTGAAACCAGTCAACTTGCTATTGAGCAACACAAAAGTTCATACCGGTGAACTCAGAACCATCGGACTACCTGGCAGCATTGCTAACCCTTGACCAATTGTGCAACAGAAGCGATGTATTTCATCAGGCCACCTTTGGACACATCAATATTATGTAAGACAGATTGGATTTGGCTTTTCATTGATATGAGTGAGTCACACTGTTTTTCACATGGCGTTCCAGTCGTACTATGGAATGCAGAGAGCGAGATGACGTGCTTTGTACCACATGGGACTCTACATACCATAGCTGTGTGCTTATGATTTCATCACTTTGCTGGAAGTCATTTTTTGGACGTTATGTATTAAGCAAACTATAGCCATCTAAAGGAAGAGTCAGGAAGAGTCAGGAAGTCAACTCACCACGAGCATATACGGATATTGAGGCATCCATTTTCAGGTGATATCGTGAAAATTCTGAACTTACCATTGCAAAGATTATACAGGTCTGGACATTAAAGGAAAATAACAAGTTGCCTAATGTAGGTGTAGCAATCATGCACACAGAGATGGACGCAGTCATCCATTTTGCTCCAAACCCCTCCATCTTGTATCTCTCTCTCCCAAATCAGATTCCTCTGACATCCCCCCTCCCTCTCTGTGGAGTGACATGAGGTCTGGATGATGACAGAGATCACAGGCAGCAAACTCACTGGGAGGGCATCATGGCTATAAACCTTACTAGCTGGTGCCCCTAAGTCTGCGAGACTCTTGCTGGAGAAGGGATCGTAAAACCATAAACCAGCCCTCACTGAGCTTCAAAGACATTCCAGGTAGTCATAAAAACAGACTAAAATTTAAAAAACTCACTTTTCCATATAATTTTATATCTTCAAATAGGACATAATTACATAAACATGGAGCACATATTCGGATGGCTCACTATAATACAAGTCGCCTGATATATTACATCCCCTAGCTGGCATCAACAGGAAAGCAGAAAAAGATATCTCCTTAACCATCCCAGCAGGTATCTCATATTTCATACCTAGACGTTCAGCAGGTGATTCTGTGTATTAATCTACTAGTGGAAAGGCTGCTAAATGCACCGAGAATAAGTTATGAATCATAACATCAAATGTGAGGGTTTTTGGTCATAGCTTGGGTCTCCACCTGCAACATCCTCCCAAATGAGGTGATTTGTTCTCTGCTTCAGGGAGACACCCTGCTGAGTTCCTAGAAAAAGCTAAGCTGAGTTAAGTGTAGTTGAAGATTCTCCCTTTTAACATCGGAACTAACTTTGGGAGATAAGGCATCCTTTTGGCTCTGAAACTTGATCTGCTAAACCCAGACTGATGGCAAGTACTTTATCCCTCTAAACTTCTTTCTGTTATCTCCTTGCTGTGCTATTGCTCTCTGTGTATATATATATATATATATATATATATATATATATATATATATATATTGGTTACATCTTTTTCTGTAAATATTTTTATTGCACCCCTTTGACCTTTTAGTAATAAATCTTACTTTCTGAAAGTGTTGAACTGTTTCTAAAGCTCCTTAATGCAAACTAAGAACCCCTGTCTCTGAAGAGTGCTACTGTGTGTGTGTTTTAAACTTCAGTATATCGCTGCCTGAGGTGACAGTGGTATACCGACGCTTATGCAAACATCATAGTGTTATTGCTGATATTGCCGAGTTTCCTCTTTCTCTGTGCAAAAAGGAGGTGGTGGCAGTGTGAAGGGTTAATTGAGTAACTAACCTGACCCAGTAACAATCGCTCCCAGGCTGCAGATACACAGAGTGTGGTCCGTTAGCTGGAAAATCTTTGTGCAGAGTGCAGCTGGGCGTGGCATTGTTACGCACGTGACAGTGCGGTTTTAGATTGGCTAGTCCTTCGGTCACGAGTTTGGTGAGAAGGGCAGTGGTCTGACGCCGCGATCGTCACAGTAGGACTTCTTATTTTTAAGATCCAGTAGAGGGTAATCTCTTGTAAAATATGTCCATGGTGAGGCCCACAGAGGCAATATACTAGAACTGCCAGAAGGGCCGGTATGTCATCTCTGATTTATTGCGAGCTCTGGTGGGTTACTCGGCCTTTTTTTTGCTTTCAAAATATTGAGAAATATTGGATCATCGGTAACCTTCAGTGTGCCACTGAGCTGAGCTTTCTTCAGAAAATATCCCATATCAAGGTATGGTGACAATAACCAAACAAAAAAGCAAAAAGGAAGTGGAAGATGTGCTAAGCTAGGGGTGTTCAGGTTTTCTGAAGACCATCAAGAGTTTTCCGACCTGCTAAAAAAAACCTTGAAGACTTGCTAAAGAAATATTGGATCACCAGTAACAGTAAAAATATAAAAAAAAATAAGTGGAGGATGTGCTAGTCTAGGGGTGTTCAGGTTTATTGAAGACCACCGAGAGTCTTCTGACCTACTAAAGGAACCTTGCTAACTTACTAAAGAAATATTGCATCATCAGTAACCTTTGGTCCACCACTGAGCTGAGCTTTTTTTCAGTAAATATCTAATATCAGGGTATGATGACCATAAACATAAAATGTATCAAAAAGGAAGTGAAGGATGTGCTTGGCTAGGAGTGTTCAGGTTTTTTCGAAGACTACCAAGAGTCTTCCAACCTACTAAAGGAACCTTGCTAACTTACTAAAGAAATATTGGATCATCAGGAACCTTGGGTCCACCACTGAGCTGAGATTTCTTTGGTAAATATCTCATATCAAGGTATGATGACCATAACAGTAAAAAAAAATCAAAAATGAAGTGGAGAATGTGCTAGGCTAGGGGTGTTCAGTTTTTCGAAGACCACCGGGAGTCTTCCGACCTACTAAAGAAACCTTGCCAACTTACTAAAGAACTTTTGGAGCATCAGTAACCTTGGGTCACCCACGGAGCTGAGTTTGCTTTGGTAACTAAGTATCCCATATCAAAGTATGATGATCATAGCCATAACCATAAAAAATATCAAAACTGAACTGAGGGATGTGCTAAGATAGGGTTGTTTCACGTTTTATTGAAGATCTTACTAAAGAAATATTGGATCATCAGTCATTTTTGGTCCACCACTGAGCTGAGCGTTTTTTTGGTAAATATTCCATCACATGGTATGGTGGCCATTACAGATATATAAAATATCAAAAAGGAAGTGGAAAATGTGCTAAGCTAGGGGTATTTAGGATTTTGAGGACCACCAAGAGTCTTCCAACCAACTAAAGGAACCTTGCTGACTTACTAAAGAAATACCGGATCATCAGTAACCTCCAGTCCACAACTGAGCTGAATTATCTTTGGTAAATATCACAAGCCTACTGAACGACATATCAGACTGGATGTCACTCCACTTCCTTAAACTGAACCTCTCCAAATCCGAGCTCCTAGTCCTCCCCCCAGCCCAACAATGCCACCATCAGCCCCACCCCGCAGGCCGGAGTACTTGGTGTCATACTTGACGCCAATCTATCCTTCCAGCCCCAAGTCCAATCACTCACAAACTCATGCAGACTCCACCTCTGCAACATTGCCAAAATCCGCACGTTCCTAACCCCAGAAACCACTAAACAGCTCATCCACTCCCTCATCATATCACGACTCGATTACTGCAACTCCCTCCTCACTGGCCTGCCTCGCCACAGGCTATCCCCACTTCAGTCCATCCTGAATACAGCTGCTAGACTCATTCACCTTACCAACCACTCCGTTTCCGCCACCCCCCTCTGCCAATCCCTCCACTGGCCTCCACTCAGTGTCCTCCACCCCTCTCTGCCAATCCCTCCACTGGCCTCCACTCAGTGTCCTCCACCCCCCTCTGCCAATCCCTCCACTGGCCTCCATTCAGTGTCCTCCACCCCCCTCTGCCAATCCCTCCACTGGCCTCCATTCAGTGTCCTCCACCCCTCTCTCTGCCAATCCCTCCACTGGCCTCCACTCAGTGTCCTCCACCCCTCTCTGCCATTCCCTCCACTGGCCTCCACTCAGTGTCCTCCACCCCTCTCTGCCAATCCCTCCATTGGCTTCCGATTGCCCAACGGATCAAATTCAAAATCTTAACACTGACGTACAAAGCTGTCCATCAAAGGTAAGGTGACCATAACAATAAAAAGATATAAAAAAGGAACCAGAGGTTGTGCTAGGCTCAGGATGTTCTTTTTTTTTGAAGACCACCAAGTGTCTGCTCACCTTGGTTCTCAAATTCAAGGTGTCAATTTACCAATTTTTGTGGAGCTTAAAAAAATGTGTACCCAGTATAATTTACTACAAATCTGTAAGCTACAGACTGGTGGGTGTTTATTCGAGTGGTGGTGGTTTGGTAGTGGATTGGTGGATGCTGGCAGGATACCTTCAGCGAATCTAGATTTGTAATGCACCCAGGCAACTGGAGCACAAACTCAACCTCATTGAAGGTATCCTATGGGGCCCAGCTCAACCTCAATGAAGATATCCTATCAGGCCCACCTTAATCATCAAAGATAGACTAATGTTTCCAAGCTCAACCTCATTGAAGGTATCCTATCGGGCCCAGCTCAACCTCAATGAAGATATCCTATCAGGCCCACCTTAATCATCAAAGATAGACTAATGTTTCCAAGCTCAACCCATTGAAGATATCCTATGGGGCCCACCTTAATTATCAAAGATAGACTAATGTTTCCAAGCTCAACCTCATTGAAGGTATCCTATCGGGCCCAGCTCAACCTCAATGAAGATATCCTATCAGGCCCACCTTAATCATCAAAGATAGACTAATGTTTCCAAGCTCAACCTCATTGAAGGTATCCTATCGGGCCCAGCTCAACCTCAATGAAGATATCCTATCAGGCCCACCTTAATCATCAAAGATAGACTAATGTTTCCAAGCTCAACCTCATTGAAGGTATCCTATCGGGCCCAGCTCAACCCCATTGAAGATATCCTATGGGGCCCACCTTAATTATCAAAGATAGACTAATGTTTCCAAGCTCAACCTCAATGAAGATATCCTATCAGGCCCACCTTAATCATCAAAGATAGACTAATGTTTCCAAGCTCAACCTCATTGAAGGTATCCTATCGGGCCCAGCTCAACCCCATTGAAGATATCCTATGGGGCCCACCTTAATTATCAAAGATAGACTAATGTTTCCAACCTCAACCTCATTGAAGGTATCCTATCGGGCCCAGCTCAACCTCAATGAAGATATCCTATCAGGCCCACCTTAATCATCAAAGATAGACTAATGTTTCCAAGCTCAACCCCATTGAAGATATCCTATGGGGCCCACCTTAATTATCAAAGATAGACTAATGTTTCCAACCTCAACCTCATTGAAGGTATCCTATCGAGCCCACCTTAATCATCAAAGACACACTAATGTTTCCAAGCCTGTAGCCCTAGAGAAGGGGGTTAACTCTGAAACATGTTGGCCATGTTGTGTATACATGATACAAATGACCACAAAACTCTCTACTTTGAAGAGACCAATGGACCGGTAATCCCACCATGAGCTGTGCAGCCACATTGAGTCCCTCTCTAGAAGATCCAGTGCTAGCTCATACATTAAAACCCAAAGCTCTGTGGATCCTGACAGGCAGCAGCTGTAGCCCATTATTGATTAGTTCATAACTGAAGCCTGAAGAATCCCGGGCAGGGTTGAGTTAGGAGAAGACTTGTACCAGCCAAACTCTTTATAGCTGACCTTTAAGTGGCATAAATGGAGCGACTCTCCCATTCATCTGTGAAGTGTTAAAGTAAACCATCACATATTATTGCCGTATTGGAAGCACTCTGGGTGAGAAGGTCAGGAATGTTTTCTCCTCGGGGATTGGAGTGGATATTTGACTTCCTTTGAACTTCAGATAGTTTCCTCTAATGCACTGACATCAAAGGCTCGACAGTACTTCTAAAATAGCGCCTCTCTACAGCACTGCCCTCCTGGGGCCACACCACTTTATCTTATCGCCGTTGTGTGACTACTGCGACTCTGCGAGAACTGCTCGCCTGGTGATAAAACAGAGGCGTCCTTGATATATTCTGTACAACTTCTCCACATACTGATTGTCCAGACCGGGCGAATGGCTGACAGCGGAAACCCAGTCATTATAATCTCATGTACACTTTAATATATTAATGTCTATAAAAAAAAAAAGAAAATGTATCAATCTGCAGCTTTCATTAAAACAATCCCTGGTGATCCTGCCATGAAGGATCTTGTTCAAGCACTTCCTGTTGTGTCGTGACAAGAGTCTCCCAAGTTGTGCTCCCGTGTTGTCACCTCGGCATGTTCAGAAGCCTTGCCCACACACATTGCTCAGCCATGGTTCTCATTATCAGGAAGTCCCTCCCCTTCCCGGAGAAATGATGTGCAGCAGATGTGGGAGGCAGTGCATATAGACAGGAAGTGACTGACAGAGACTGGAGGAGATCAGCAGCACTGACACAAGAACAGGAGAGGAAGTTAAAGGAAAAGCTAGGATTCACATTCGCTTTGAGGAAGAATTCGGATGTAAGAAAACATTCCTGTAGTTTCTAATGGCAGAGCTGCCCCGTATCTTCATGGAAAGCTTTGCTTTCTGTGTTCATTTGGATTTGGTTGTAAAGTTACAAGGTTTTTGTTACCTCGATGTATTCTTTCGATTCAGATAAAAAAACCTTCCAAGCTACCCTCATCGCCCCCAAATACTGATCGGAGCCTGATCCAGATCCAGCGCGGTGCCTGGGAGCAGTGGCTCACTCCTCTCACTGAATGAGGAGGTAGCAGCAGGAACCATTGGTTGTTGTCAATCACAGCCTGTGAGGAGAGGCGGGGGGGCGAGGCTGACCCAAGCTGTGTGTGTCTATGCACTCGCACATCAGACGCTGAAGAGGAGGAGTGGTCAGCGCTGGAAGGAAACCCAGAAAAGGAGGATCGGGGGCACTCTGTGAAAAACCAGGACAGAGCAGGGAAGTAGAACATGTATTTTGATTTGAAAAAAAAAAAAAAACAAAAAAACCCGTATAAATCCTGTATATATATATCGCCCCTGACGATGTCAAACATATGATGAAACACGTTGGGTAGAGCCTGATATGATGTCACCACGCTGAGCTGCCAGAACTTTTGGTACATCGGGATTGCTGATGATCTTTGATGGCTCTGTTGTAACTACATTGTAAGTGCAATATATATACAGTGGGGATGGAAAGTTTGGGCCCCCCAGCTAAAAATGTGTATTAATGTGCATAAAGAAGCCAAGGAAAGATGGAAAAATCTCCAAAAGGCATCAAATTACAGATTAGACATTCTTATAATATGTCAACAAAAGTTAGATTTTATTTCCATCATTTACACTTTCAAAATAACAGAAAACAAAAAAATGGCGTCTGCAAAAGTTTGGGCCCCCTGCAGAGTTAATATCTTGTACTGCCCCCTTTGGCAAGTATCACAGCTTGTAAACGCTTTTTGTAGCCAGCCAAGAGTCTTTCAATTCTTGTTTGAGGTATCTTTGCCCATTCTTCCTTACAAAAGTCTTCCAGTTCTTTGAGATTTCTGGGCTGTCTGTCACGCACGGCTCTTTTAAGGTCTATCCATAGATTTTCAATGATGTTGAGGTCAGGAGATTGTGAAGGCCATGGCAAAACCTTCAGTTTACACCTCTTGATGTAATCCCCCGTGGATTTCGAGGTGTGTTTAGGATCATTATCCATTTGTAGAAGCCATCCTCTCTTTAACTTCAGCTTTTTCACAGATGGCATCAAGTTACCATCCAAAATTTGCTGGAATTTTATTGAATCCATTTTTCCTTCTACTCGTGAGATGTTCCCTGTGCCACTGGCTGCAACACAACCCCAAAGCATGATTGATCCAACCCCATGCTTAACAGTTGGACAGAGGTTCTTGTCATTAAATTCTGTGCCCCTTCTTCTCCAAACGTACCTTTGCTCATTCCGGACAAAAAGTTCAATTTTAATCTCATCGGTCCACAGAACTTGTTTCCAAAATGCATCAGGCTTGTCTATATGTTCATTTGCAAAGTTCAAACGATGATTTTTGTGGTGAGGACGTAGAAGAGGTTTTCTTCTGATGACTCTTCCATGAAGACCATATTTGTACAAGTATCTCTTTATAGTGGAATAGTGACCACAACTCCAGTGTCTGCCAGATCTTTCTGGAGGGATCGTGCAGTCAAACGTGGGTTTTCAATTGTTTTTCTCACAATCCTGTGAGCTGTTCTGTCTGATATTTTTCTTGGTCTTCCAGATCTTGCTTTAACTTCCACTGTTCCTGATGACTGCCATTTCTTAATGACATTCCGAACAGAGGATATTGACATCTGAAAACGCTTTGCTATCTTCTTATAGCCTTCTCCAGCTTTGTGAGCGTCAACTATTTTCAGTTTCAGTTTTCTAGACAACTGCTTAGAAGAACCCATGGTGCTGATTGTTGGGGCAAGGTCAGGTGAGTCGGGGCATTTAAAACCTTTGAGATTGACATCACATGGTCTTCCCAGACGATGATTGAGAACAATCCATGACACTGGCAGGTCTCAGCTTGGCAAAGGGGGCAGTGCGTGCTATAAATTCTGCAGGGGGCCCAAACTTTTGCAGACGCCATTTTTTTGTTTTCTGTTATTTTGAAAGTGTAAATGATGGAAATAAAATCTAACTTTTGTTGACATATTATAAGAATGTCTAATCTGTAATTTGATGCCTTTTGGAGATTTTTCCATCTTTCCTTGTCTTCTTTATGCACATTAATACACATTTTTAGCTGGGGTGCCCAAACTTTCCATCCCCACTGTATATATATATATATATATATATATATATATATATATATATCGCCCCTGACAATGTCAAACATATGACGAAACACGTTGGG